CCTAATCAAAATATAAGAAACAGTCATATGAACCAAATTTGAGGAAAACCAGCCTCATTGAAAAGGAGCAATGAAGCTTATTCATCACAGACTTCTTATGCAAATATACAAAAACGATTAAAACATGATTTTAAGCAATAATTATTCCAGTTTTCTGAGAAATAAGAAATAGTAACAATGAAGTACGGGGAAAAAATAACAGAATTTGAAAAGGTCTGGCAAGTTCAGAGTGGTATGGTCAAGGAGGGAAAAGGGGAGGGGGAGGAGGAGCTAGCAAGAAATTCATAAAAGACCACAACAAATGATTAAATTGTGTAATGATAAATATAGTAATTATCCTGATTTGAGCATCACATATTGCACATAGGTATTGATTTTCAGTGCTCTACCTCTCAGATGTATACAAGCAATGATGTTTCAACAATAAATTTTTTAAAATTCAGGTAGAGGAAAAAAAAAGTAAAGCTCTGAAAGCTTTTAAGACAAAGCTTAAGAAATGTATCTTTAAAAAAAATTCTATATATTTAAGGTGTACACCATATTTGGCATACCTATACATAGTGGAATGGTTACTATAATCAAGCAAATTAGAATATTCATCATACCACTTAGGTAATCTTTTTATTTTTTGAGGTAAGAGCATCTGAAGTAAACATTCTTAGTAAATTTCCAGTATACAAAACCATATTATAACTAATTTCCTTATGTTGTACATTAAATTTCTAGACTTATCCTACATGTATGCAATTTCCTACCCTGGGATCCACATCGTTCCATTTCTTGCTGGTCCCCACCCCCATCCCTGGTAATCACCATTTTATTCTCTGTTTTTATGTATTCAAACTTATTATCTGATATATATTTGTGTACATATATATATATATATATAATTTCACATACACGTTAGATCATGATGTATTTTATTTTTTATTTATTTATTTTAATTTACTAATTGTAATTGTATATATTCATGGGATACAATATGATATTTTTGTACATGTATATGCTGTGTAATAATTGGGTCAGGGTAGTTAATGAATCAATTACCTCATGTATTTATCATTTCTTTGTGCTAAAATATTCAAAAGCCTGTCCTCTAGCTCCTATGTAATAATCAAAACTTAACAGTTAACCACAGTCATCCACTGTGCAATAGAACAGCAGAACTGATTCCTCATATCTCATTGTAATTTTGTACCTGTGGCCAGCCTCTCCCTCCCCTTGTCTTCTTTCTCCAGTCTCTGGTAACCACTATTCTATTCTCTGCCTCTATAATATCTACTTTGTTTTTTTTCATAGATTCGTGTGTCTGACTTATTTCACTTAGCATAATGTCCTTCTGGTTCTTCTGTGTTGTCTTAAATAACAGAATTTCCTTATTATTTACAGCTGAATAGTATTTTTCATTATATGTGTATATATAATAATTTTGTTATTCATATTTGATGGACACAGGTTGTTTCACTGTCCTGTCTATTGTGAATGATGCTGCAAAAAATACAGGAGTCTATGAGCTGCTGATTTCATACTCTGTGGGTATGCACTGAGCAGAGACATTGCTGAGTCATGTGGTTGCTGTATTTTTAATTTCTTTGAAAAACCTCCATACTGTTTTTCATACTGGCTGCACCAGTGAAACTTATATTACTTGGTATTTTCCCTGATATGGACAAATGAACTGATTTAGACAAATTTAGAGGTTGCATCGATCCTGTGGGTTGCTAAATTGCCAAGCATGTTAATTTGATAGACTCTCTATGGCTTCTCTGTGAAAGTGACAGCATCAATGGGAAAAAAGAAGCACCATAACGTCCCGGTGTGGAATGGGAACATTTGAACAATTTCAGATGCCTGATCCTCAGATCATCACACTACAGTGAGCTTCCTTTAGCACAATTAAGTTCAATTTTGACACACCTCATAGAAGACAATGATTACTAAAATAGGAGGAATATGTTAACACAAAGCACATACATATATAAAAACACCACATATAGACACAGGAAAGTTTATTGTAATAATTGAGAATAACACAAAAATCACTGTCACTCCACTTTGTAACTACTCCTCTTCCTCACCTCACACAAATGAACATTCTCCTTGCTTGCTCTCATGGTCTATAGTAGGCTCAACTGGTCAACTACATTATAATATTCCCTTAATTTTTATGTTGGTAATTTATCTCTCTCCATGATAGAAGGTAAATCTTTTACTCGTTATGATCATACATGTGTATTCAGCATGTAGATTTCTGACTAATATGTAGAGGGAAATTTCTAAATATACGTAGAACCTATTTGTGTTTGCTATTCTTTCTAAAGGCAGACAGAGTAAAGTTTGATGTCTATAAAATAATTTATCAAAATCACATTGTACATAAACTTTAATACAAAATATTGGATAGTTTTTTCCATGTCCTTTGTAGTGCATATTTTACATCTTTGTTCCGCAAGCTATAGATCAAAGGATTCAATGTGGGTATAACCAGGGTGTAAAATACAGAAGCCAGTTTATCAGTGTCAGAAGAGTGACTGGACTTGGGCTGCACATACATGTATATCAAAGTCCCATAGAATGCTATGACCACAGTCAGGTGGGATCCACAGGTGGAGAAAGCTTTTTGCCTAGATTCA